AGGCGGGCAGGATGAAAGCCCTGCTGCAAGCAGCTTGGGCTCCATGGCTATCAGCAGCTTCCCAGAACCTGGGTTGGCTGCAGCTGGGAGGCTACAAACAGCTGCTGCCTCCTGGCCCTGGCCCTGGCCCCGGCCCTAGCTGCCCCCCAGCCCCAGATCCAGCCCTGGGCTCCCGGGAGGCAGCAGATACTGGTGATGCTCCCCGCTATGCTGCCTTTGCCGCCATTTCTGCAGAGCAGCATGTGAAACCCGGCACAGCAGGGGACGCAGAAAGCTGCTTGCTGCTCCAAGCTCCCCACTGCCCTGGCCACACTTCCCCTGCAGGTTGGGGCAGCAGTGAGGGGCACAGCTCTTCATGCTGCCCATGCTGATCCTGTGCACACAGGGGAAGTGTGACTCGGGTAGCATGGAGCTTGCAGCAGCAGGTGGCTTCCCTGTGCAGCCCCTTTGTGCACTGCCACTTTGGGTCACACACGTGCTCGGGAGGGCCCAGGGGAGGGCAGCAGGGCTGGGAGCACAGTGTGTGCGAAGGCAGCACAGCGGGGAGCATTGCTGATATTTGCTGTTTCCCCAGAGCCCGGGGCCGCGTCTGGAGCTGGAAAGCAGCTAGGGCTGGGGCCGGAGCAGGGAGGCAGCAGTTGTTTGCAGCCTCCCAGCTGCAGCTGGTCCAGGTTCTGGGTAGCTGTTGATAGCCATGGAGCCTGGGCTGGGCGGCAAGGGGCAGTAGGGCTGGGGGGCAGGGGCTTTGGGTGAGGGCAAGGGGCAGCAGGGCTGGGGGACAGGGGCTTTGGGTGGGGGGCAGGGGCACAAGCAAGGCATCCTGCTATGTACCCCCTGCCCTTGTTTTGTTTTTCTGGCATGCCAGCACTCTGGCACCTTCCAAGGCAGGCATTGTGGGTTTTTTCAGCGCTCTGGCCAAAAAATGTTGCCTCCCCTTAAGTAGGATATAAACACTAAATAACAGATGAAAAAATGTAACAGTACACAAAAACACACTAGTTGAGATCAGTCTATGACCCAAAAAGCTTATGTTCTAAAAGACAAAACATAGTGGGTGATTGAGACAAACAGATGGGCTGAGGCTTGAGCAGAGTAAGGAAGCACTGTTTAAAAGGGTCATCTTAATAACAGAAACATTAGTAAAAATGATTTGAGTTCTTCATCTTTTTGAGGGTAAAAAATCATTTTAATACATTGTATTCCTAGTAGAAAAGTTTCTTGCCTTTGAAATGAGGTCAGTGCAAGCATAACAGTTTGTAAGACAAACTATAAAATGCTTGCCTGTATCCAAAGCTGATTTGCTAATGCATATGATGCGCTTCTGCTTACCCACCCTGTCATGGAATTACTTAGTACTTCATTACTCCATGCTGTATCAGACTTGTGGTGTTTGGTGACTAGTCAATATAGTTTCATAGTTGGTAGGGTCGGAAGGGACCTGAGGAGATCATCTAGTCCGAATCCCTGCCATGGCAGGAAAGAGTACTAGGGTCAAACGACCCCAGCCAGATGTTCATCCAGCCTTTTTTTAAGACCCCCAGGGTAGGAGCCAGCACCACTTCTTTTGAAAGTTGGTTCCAGGTCCTAGCCTCCTTGACAGTGAAATAGCACCTCCTAATGTCTAACCTCAAACTGCCCTCTGCTAGCTTGTGTCCGTTGTTTCTTGTAACTCCCGGGAGTGCTTGGGGGAACAGGAGCTTTCCCAGTGTCTGCTGGTCCCCCTTGACTAGTTTGTAGACTGCCACTAGATCCCCTCTTAGCCTTCTCTTTTTGGAGGCTGAACAGGTTCGGATCCCTCAGCCTCTCCTCGTAGGGCCTGCCCTGCTGACCCCGATCATGCGGGTGGCCCTTCTTTGAACCCTCTCCATATTGGCCACATCCCTCCTGAAGTGCGGTGCCCAGAACTGGACGCAGTACTCCCGCTGTGGCCTGACCAGTTTTGCATAGAGTGGGAGGATCACCTCCTTGAACCTGCTTGAGATGCATCTGTGGATGCACAACGAGGTGTGGTTGGCCTTCCTGACCACGTCCCCACTTTGTCTGCCCATGTTCATTTTGGCATCAATGATGACTCCAAGATCCTTTTCTGTCTCGACACTGGCGAGAAGGGAGTTCCCCTGCCTGCATGTGTGCCGCTGGTTCTTCCTCCCCAGGTGCATTACCCTGCACTTGTCAGTGTTGAACACCATCCTGTTCTCATCGGCCCACCTCTGTAACCTGTCTAGATCCGCTTGCAGCCTGTTCCTTCCTACTAGCGTACCTACTTCACCCTACATCTTAGTGTCATCTGTGAATTTGAACAGGGTGCTTTCTACCCCCTCGCCCAAGTCACTGATGAAGATGTTGAATAGTGAAGGCCCGAGGACCAAGCCCTGGGGAACCCCACTGCTCACATCCCTCCAGGTCGAATAAGACCCGTCCACCACCACCCTCTGGGTGCGGCCCACCAGCCAGTTAGTGACCCATCTGACTGTGTATGCATCAACACCACTGTCTCCTGGTTTCTTACTGAGAATGGGGTGAGAGACTGTGTCAAAGGCCTTCCTGAAGTCCAGAAAGACTATATCCACTGCGACACCTGCATCCAAGGACTTCATGACCTGGTCATAGAAGGCCACCAGGTAGGTTTGACAAGACCTGCCCCTAATGAACCCATGCTGGTTGCCCCTGAGCATAACCTCCCCTGCTGGCCCTTCCTGGACATGTGCCAGGATAATTCTTTTGAAAAGCTTCCCCAGGACCAAGGTAAGACTCACAGGCCTATAGTTTCCTGGGTCCTCCTTCCTCCCTTTTTTGAAGATGGGGACCACATTGGCCCTTTTCCAGTCCTCCGGCACATCGCCCGAGCGCCATGAGTGCTCATAGAGCTGTGTCAGAGGTCCTGCAATGACCCCTGCTAGTTCCTTCAGCACTCTGGGGTGGAGATCATC